TCTTTATAAAAATCCTCCCCAGTAAGTTCACAGTGTGACTTCCCATCTGCCTCTCCAGGATGAGGAACTCACCCGGGAGCTCCCCTTCCACCCCCACCCCCCTTTAATAAAGCAGCATTAAGCTTTCTCTCCTTCTCTCTGATTTCTTCTTTAAGTCCACTAACCTAACCTAACACTACTATCAGAGGAAAAATTTTTTAGACTTTCAACTACCTCAAACTTCAGGTGGTTCTGAATGAATATAGCTAACATTCCCTTTCCCTAGTTAAGAATATTTAAAGGAAAGTAAAGCATTGTAAAGGAAATAATCACAGGAATTCTCTACAACAGTCAATAGATGCAAGTGGGAACAAAGAATTGTTCCCTCAGTTTTATTTAAGTTTATGCAAAGGTATTACAGTCATAATGCTACAGTCACAAAACAGCGTTCCTGGTAGATGGAGGGAGAAGCTAGTTCATAAACTCCGTGCTTTAAAAAGGCGATTTTAGTTTTAAAGCTGTTTCCTTACTGCTTTGCAGAAGCCAAAACTCTTGGATTTTAACAAAAACAACCCAGAAGATGCATGCCTGGACGCTTTCGTCCTTCAGACTCCGGCCGCAGTGACGATGGGGCTCGGGCACCGGGGTCCCCGGGAGCCCCACGGCGGACACTAGGCGCGGGTGGCCGGAGGCAGGCCCACCTCCATGCTAGGTCCTGCCCACTCCACGCACCTCATAGCGGGTCCCGACCTTGTCCTTCAGGGTAGAGATGAGCAGGCAGACGGGGTGCAGGCCGCCTGGCTCACCACTAAACCGGGGCCGCAGCCGAGTCCTGGGCGTCTGGTGACAAAGGCTCAGCACCGCCCGAACGCCCTTGCCCCGGTTCCTCAGCCCCAAGGCTGGCAGATGCCGGCTGATCACCTCCACCTCGCAGTGCAACTTCATCCCGCCCGATCTCCTAAGGAGTTTTGAAAAATATTAATGCCTAGACTCCAAGAAATTTTGATCTGATTGGGCATTAGAATTTTTTAAGGTTTCTCTCTCATTTGATAAGAACTTTGTCATATTAAACCCTGAGTCCCCCAAGGTCATTAGCTATAATGACCTGGCCTAATCCACCCAAGGCTTGGGGAAAAGGCCAAAGAAAATCATGGCAGGAGCCCGGCCTCAGCTTTCAAGGTTTGTCCGTGAGACTGGTCCAGAGCTGAAAAGCTAAATAAGCACCAGTAATAATAATAATAATAATAACAACAATGACGATAATGCTAACAATAAAGAAAACAATAGATTTTTAAAAACTATTTATTGTGATATACTAGAAGCTTTACATAGTTTACGGCATTTATCCTTGACAGCAATGCTGTGTTTTTAGTGTTTTTATGTCCCACTGGGTCAAGTACATCTCATAGCAACCTATGAACAACAGATTTGAACCTTTCTCTGTTCTGCACCCTTTTCCCAATCTCAGACATGTTCTAGATCATTGCAATAGCCACTGTGTCAATCCAACTTGTTGAGGGTCTTTCTCTTTTCTCTGACTCTCCATCTCTCTCAGAATGATGTCTTTATTGAGGCAACATGCCCACAATATGTTGTGACACAGAGTTTTACCATCTTTGTCTCTAAGAAGCACCCTGGTTGAACTTCCTTCAAGTTAGACTTGTTTGTTCTTTTGACAGTCCATGGGATATTCAGTACTCTTAGACAATATAACAATTCAAAGGCATCAAGTACTCTTCTGCTATCATTATCATTGTCCAACTTTTAGATGCATAGAAAACAATGAAAATACCATAACTGTGATTAGTGCACCTTAGTCTTTGAACAGATATCCTAGCTCTTTTACACTGTGGAGAGATCCTTGACAGCAGATTTTCCCAATGCAATATGTATTTTGATTTCTTGATTGCTGCTAAGATGGATGTTGATTGTGAATCCAGGTAAAACTAAGTAGTTGCCAACTTCAATCTTTTCTCCATTTGTCATGATACTGCCTATTGATACAATGGTTAGGATTTTTGTTTTCTTGATGTTGAGATGTAAACCATATTGAAGGCTGTAGTGTTTCAACTTCTGAAGCAAGTACTTCAAATTTTCTTTCTTTTCTGAAAGCAAGATTGTGTCACTACATAATACAGGTTGTTGAAGAGTCTTCCTCTAATCTTGATGACAACATTCTTTCTCATATAGTCTAACCTCTTGAATTATGCAATGCTATGAGGTAATATTGTTTTTATGTGCCATAAACTCACCTATGACACATAGCAATCCTATGCACAATAGCTCTGAACCCTGCCCTATCCTGAGCCAGTCTCTGATACACCTAACCCCATTGCCCCAGTTACCATATCAGTTCATCTCATCTGGGATCATCCTTTCCTGCGCTGTCCATCCACCCTTCCAAGCATGATGTCCTTCTCCAACTACAAGTTCCTCTTGGCCATGTGCCAAAGTATGAAATGGAGCTTCAAAATTGTGCCTCCAAGAAGAAACTTGGTTTCTTCCTTTCCAAGATAGACCTAATTATTCTCCTGGTAATTCAGTACTCTTCTCCAGCACCACAACTCAAAGACATTGATTCTTCTTCTGTTATCCTTGGTTACTGTCCAGTTCTATGGTACATAGCAAGTAATTGGGAAGACCATGGCCTGAGTCAGGAACTCCTCTGTCTCTAGACTGACTTCATTGCTCTTTAGCACTTTGGAAAGTCCCTGACAGCAGTTTGTCCCAGTGCAATTTGTCTTTTAATTCCCTGATTGCTGGTGCTGAGATTGTGGATTATGGAACCAAGCAATGTGAAATTGTTAACAATCTCAGTCTCTTCTTGATCCATCATGGCATTGCCAATTAGCCCAGTGATGAGAATCTTTGTCTTCTTGAAATTGAGTTTCAATCTATATTGAAGACTACAGTCCTTGACCCTCTGCAGCAAATGTTTCAGGTCCTTCTCAGTTTCAGTAAGCAAGGTTGTGTCATATGCACAAGTTGTTAATGAGTCTTTCTCCAATCCTGTGCCACACTCCTGCTCCTAAATTTCACTCTCCTGAATGATCTATTCTACATACAGATTGTTTTTTTAATTTATAAAATGTTTATTAATCTAGTATGACTTGTGTTACTAAAAACATGTGGTATAAACAAAGAATTCAAAGCATAGAATAATGAAATCGTGAAAAGGTTGAGCACTGGAGTACTAACCAAAAGACTCAAATTCACCCAGAGGAGCCTCTTTCTCCCCAAAGATCACAGCCTTGAAAACCTATGAAGTATCATTCTACTCTACACACATGGCATCTTAATAATCCCAACCGGCTAGTAACTGGTTTGCTTTCGCTTTTTTTTTTTTATTTTAATGAAAGTTTGCAGAGACTTTGGATTTCCATTCATTCATAGATGCACACTTTCCTCCCTGCCCACCTCTCTCCCCAGTTTGCTTTTCTCTTTGAAAAGTAAAAGAAAAAAAAATTCTTTCATTGTTATACAACCCCCCTCCCCAAGTTCACTCCACTATGCAGCTTTTATTCTGGACTCCCGTTATGACAATAATACCTAATCATATATTCCTCCTAAACAGTTCTCTCCCTCATCTGTTTCAATGCAGTATACATTATTTATCCCCTCTTAGTTTTTCCCCCAGCTCCGATGTTAGTTCTGCTTTATAACAGTGGCACTATGCAGTATTCGTCCTTTTATGATGGAGATATTTCACTCTGCATAATGTCCTCCAGAATCACCCAATTTGTATATGA